GACAGACAGACAGACAGACAGACAGACAGACAGACAGACAGACAGACAGACAGACGTTTGTCCCAAAATAATGAAAGAGTGTCCTAGGTTAGTGCAAAACAACAACAAAACAAAAATATGACCTTGTGTTTTTTTCATCACGTCTTCGCCTCGCCGGCCAATTTCGGCCCTTTATCCTTAATCTAGCTTCATTAAACGGCAGATACTACATTTCTTGCCCTCCGAAATTGCCACATACGCCATTTCGAAATTAGTAATTGGTTGCTTTGATAGCGCAACTGCTTCTCTTCCCTGTGGCACACACGACCTGCATGGTCTCGTTGATTAGTTTTTTTTATTGATTGCTTTTTTTCTTAAGATACCTTGCTCCTTTACGCCCTGACATTCACAACGAAGCTCCCCCCCCCCCCTGCCCTTTCTATACATAAACAGACAGGCTATTTGGGGAGCAGTGATAATTACAGCGTGAAATAAGAACTAACTGGATCACTCATTCTTGACCATCTCAAACACACACTTCCCTTGGCAGTTGCCTTGTAAAACTGTCTGCCTGTCAACTCTACAATAATTATGTCCCCCTATCTTCGTCCAATCCTACCCCCTTCTCTCTCTCTCTCTCTCTCTCTCTCTCTCTCTCTCTCTATCTATCTATCTATCTATCTATCTATCTATCTATCTATCTATCTATCTATCTCCCGACTCCCCCTTCCACCTTCCGATTTTCCTTCTCAACAAAATCCGTCGTTTGTGTACCCTTAATTCTGTCGACCGTAATGAAGGACCATTTATTTTTACGCACAGGGTCACCTTCTCAAGTCTTGTATTGTCACCTTCTTTGTTTGATTTGGTAAGTGTTTACGGCGCTTGCAATTGCATAAGGAACGCGTGGAACACTTTAAACATTTGATAACTTCTACAAAAATAAAGAAAGAAAGAAAGAAAGAAAAAACAAACAAATAAAAAGATAAAACTAATGTATTCCACCATTCCCAAGGTCTCATATGGATCTCACCTTGACCTGAGATGTTGACATAGAGCCACACTCCCCCAAACCATCCCTGCTAAGCAGACGAACGACGAGACAGCGGGGGGCTATTCGATCTGCTAACAGTTTGTATTGATCAGTAATCGAATGAAACCCACCCGGTGACTGGGGTGCGGGGAGCTCTGTCCACAACCTAATCAAGTTTTCGGCGCACCAATTCTTCGTTACCATGGCGATGCGTCCCAGGCAGTACGATGAATGGAAGGTAACTGGGCACAGAGGCGACACAGAAAGCGCTTTGTGCGACAGGATCGATTTTAGAAACAAGTTCCATTTCCGGTG